TCAGGACAACATACTTCTGCTGCCTCTGTGCCAGCCAAAGAGGGAAGAAGGCTACGCACATTGGCGCGCGCGTGTGTGCCCCAAACGCAAGGCATTTTGATTTGCAGCAAGTACAAAGTTCATTCATCACTGCTGTGACAAAGTTCACGAAAATTGATCCTGGATCATCGGCAGGGGAAGGAGAGAGGACACCGGAACGACTTCCAAAGAAAGGCCTTCTGCCAACACAGAATGGAAGAAAGGCTATGCATACGCACTAACTAGGTGTCACCGTGCCAACGAGGGGTATAGGATTACGTACGCATATGTATGTGTAGTCTGGAGCAGGATCGACTTACATCATATAATATAATACTACGCATATCACTCACGAGTTGGTTCTTGATCGCAGAGGGCGAAATTCCGGCGTGCTCCTTCTCCAGCTGCTCCCGCACCTGGGTCAGAGTGTCCTTGTCGCGAGTGAGGGAGCGGGTGGCGGAAACGTTAAGCATCATGATGGTGGTGGTGGTTGGTGGTGGTTGGTGAAAGTTTCGCTGGCTTGACGGTTGGTCGACAGGTTGCTGTGTGAGACTTGTGGTTTGTGACGAGAGGAATTACCGACAGATGGGGACAGAGAGGGGCACGGAGATGAGAGAGATGGACGCGACACGCACGACCCGATTGTCCAAGCCCAGAACTACTTGTTGGCTTGAAATGCCAACGGCTCGGACAAACGCTTTTACATCCACAGGATCTGACTCTTCTTGGTACGGGCCAGCATCTTGACTGTCTCCAGGCGATGATTCGGACCATGTGGATAGTCAGCAGATGAATGTTGATGGATGTCTAGATAATCGCTCTCGTCTGCTTATTTCTTGGATCTTTCACCCGCAGCACATAAAATATTCGTTGTTTGTTGCTGTTGTTGCTGCTGCCTTAAGTTCAAAAGCGTCCTGTCCTGGGTCTCTCTGCCCAGTTTGCCGTCTAATGTAGTATTCGTTCTCTACTGGTTGGTCCCCATGTGGATCAAAGGCGCCTTCCTTCACAGGCTAAGCTCTAGGGGGCACACATTCATACATACATGCCTGTTGTGTTATAGAAAGAACCCAGCAGGAAAAATAGAAATACCTGTTGTTGCCTTTCTTTTTGTTTTCTCCGACCGAACGAAAGTGGTACGCAGCATGGTATGCCACCTGCGCGATTGCTGTTGTCGTCGTCACATACTATTTTGTTTCTTTTCTTTCAGTCCTCCCTGCCTACTGTCGGTGCGATACCTGTGCTTTTCTTTCTATCATTTTGTTTTCTTTTTCCGAGTGGTTTGTACCATATTTTTGTTTTGTTTCCCAGCGGCGTCGAATGTGCCGGGTTTTCAGACCACGGGCTCCCCATTTTTTGTGGACAACAGAGCTATTCTAATCATCATGTGAGAAACAACAACAAACAACTAAAGTCGAATACGGTAAATATGATGTTGAAATTTCTCATGTATGTCTAACAGACACGACTACGGGGGGGGTGTTGCGACAAGGACAGCAATCGGGGAGTTTCTGCCTTCTTCCACGAGCATCATGATTGGTTTTGATCAGCATGGCAAGACGTGTCTCTTGAGCCAGGATGATACTCTGACAACTAAATACATGTAGTTCCCACACTTAACAACATATTCGCCTGATTGAGAGCGAAGTATCTGATTGAGAGCGAGAGCCAACAAAATTGAAATTTCGGGTCCAGACGCCTCTTGCCATTTCTTGGCAAGTAGGGGACGGGCTATTCCAAGAAGCGGTGCAAATTGAAGGTCTCATCAGCAGCTTCGCGAGCATATGCGTGTCATCGTCATCGGATGCTGCAGCGAGGAGCTAGACAAGTTGCTAGATTTGCCCAGATTGGCTATTTCTGCTCAAACTGTTTCAGGGCGGTATCGCGTCGGGCGGTGGGCTCTGCTGTAGCTTCTGCTCCCCGCTGTAGCTCCACAACGAGAGACTCCCACAGGATGACCAGGGTAGCGGCTTGAAGCTACGGGCTAGCCCTTCAATTCAAGCTACACAGCAAGCTCCACCTCTCAGTGGTAGTCCGGCTACAGCGTATCGCGCAATCTCGCTCTCAATCAGATGCTACGCTCTCAATCAGGCGAATATGTTGTTACTTGTTCCTACACATTCTCACTATAGTGTGGTTATTTATGCCCCCGTCTCGCAAGTCCTTGTCAAGCATCCGTATGTGATGCGTGGATACGTTGTAGCTGGCGCCTTTGCACAAAAGAACACCAAATTAGTGCATTCATGACGGTGCCAAACGTTGGGACCGCGAAGACACCGCCGGCGTTGTTCCTGTTGATTTCCCAAGTGATATTCTTGACATCGGATTTGACGCCCCTCTCCGTATCTGCTTGGACGCGCCAGACAGGAGAAAAGGACTCACAACAAGAGAAAACGCGAAACTCAAAAAAATAATGAAGACGACGCGACAAAGAACGTCAGGCACCGACTGAGGTGCGTGCTACCCTACGTCAACCGCGTTGTTGACGGAAATCTTGCTCCCTCATATGCAAAGATAGTATTGACGACGACGACGACGACGACAACAACAAAAGGCATTTTCGAGCGACGGATGCACAGCTAGCTGTCAATCATGTCCTGGATGACCGAGCAGCCCGGCTTCTTTATGACGTTTCCCCCACCCCCCCGGTGTTAACCATCGGGGTTGGGTTTTCGTCGCTTGGCAACGACGTTGTAAAACAAGCCGCCCCCCC